GTGAACAAATGCTGCATTTTTATGTTTTAATGCATAAAGAAGTGATGTCATTCCTTTCTTGTCTCTCATTTTAATATCGGCTTTGTTTTCTAAAAGCTTTATAGCAATATTAGTATGTCCACTTTGTGATGCTAACATCAAAGCTGTTACCCCATCATCTTTGGTTGCATTAACATTTGCTCGATTTCTCAAAAGAATATCAGCAATATCACAATGTCCATTTTGAGATGCTAACATCAAGCTGGTTAAACCATGAGCATATTGGAGGTTTACATCAGCCCCATTCTTAATAAGCATTTCCACTGTGCCTGTATGCCCATTTTCAGAAGCTTGAAATAAAGCATAAGACATTTCCTGTTTTTTCTCTTCCAAAATGTGATTAGCTTTGTTATTCGTTTCAAAAATATCGTTTTCTGAAATGCAAACAGTTGATGTCTGAAAAAAAGGAAAAAAACCAAAAGGAAAGCATGAATAATTCCTTACAAGGTCACTATTTACAGTATGTGTCAAATATATACAGTACTGAGACGAACGATAACTAACAATTAAGAAAAAGTACGAAAGAAGGTGTTGTGTTGACCCATACAGAGTGCACGACGGACATCTCTGTAAATAAACATCTGCGATATGTCGCTTTGATGATTTTTAAGGACGTAGATGTATTTTCTTGAAAGGTATTTATTATAAATGTGTACGATTCGGGAGTTTTCCTTTAATTCAAGTATAACTGAAATACATGACTTTATCTGTTTGTAATGAACATTTTTTAGCAACAGCTCTATTTATTTAACAGTTATGTTACTTTTTATCATAATATGGCTGTTCACAACTTGTGCTTTTATGATTATATTTTTTACTTACAATAAATTAGCTCACAATTACTTGTTGTTTTTGTTTAGTTAAAAAGTGTATTACAAATGTCTCCTTTACATCTTAGTGCTATAATTTTAATAGCCAAAATGATTCAAACAAAATAGTCTGAAAAGAGTAATATGTCGATCACAGTTATAGCATTTAAAAACAAATATAAATTGTAGGGTGACATTAAACACTAACGAGTTCATAACTATTTCCCTATTAGGGATATAACGCTTATCTTGGTGTAATTAGAAGGCTCAAATGCAAATCTTTCCATTATTTTTTTTGTATGTTTCAGATGTATTTAATATTTATACCATTTTTAGAAATCTTAAAAGAGTTGTCAGAAAGCTATTTAAATGAGGAATGTTTCAGAGGATGACCATACTATGAGTTTTTAAATAAACAACAATTTTCTAAAAATAATATTACTTACAGGGTCATGAAGAAAACATTTGGTAAATAAAAGGGAAGCTAAACTTTTAGTTCCAATCGAACCATGATTGTTAATTGAACCTTGAGTTTCATAATAATTCTATGATTAGTACGCCGAAACACACGTACACAAAAAGGACCAAAAGATCTGAATGAAGATTTATTTTTATTACCATATTGCATGATTAAAAATAATCGCGTTTTGAAAGATAATACTCACATTTATATTTATGTTACTTGATTGTGATCCTAAAACAGAAAAAAAATAATCATATTTAACTATCGTTAATGTATATAGTATGGCTAAACACTCAATACGATAATTTCGTTTTTAATCGCTCATCATTAGTAAACACTAGCCTGGAAGGTTGCATGAAATGAAAAACAATTGTATCATAGTTATCACAATTAGTGCAATACCTTTATATTTATTTTTTTAATTTGCATACACTTAATTGTCTTTTGTATTTTCATAGGCTTGGTAACATGTTTTTGAATATCATCGTTTACAAGCGTCTTCTTGAAATTAATTAAATTTTGCGTTTTCTCACGGCCACGTGGAAATTAAAATATTTTAGTCATGTTGTTATTAACATTAAATTATTTAGAAAGCTTTGGAATTTTAAAAAAAAACGGGATAAATTTACTGTTAAAAAAAGTAGCACAACGAAAATAGAACCAAGCCTTGGTATTGACTGGAAAGGTTTCCATGTTTGGCTTATGAAATACTTTATGTCATTTCTTGCAAGCTGACTCATTTTTTGTCTGTTAGTTTTGTGTTCTTAGTTTTGTTCGCAGATGAAGGCAATCAGCTCAAACATTTGATTTCCTGGCTTGCTTTGCTATGTAAACTTTAAAATATTTTCTGTTTATTAATATGTCCCTCATCAACTTAGCATATGATTTAATGCACTGATTTCTAAAATTTCATCAAGAGCATAGACAAGAGAGTCTAGGCTACGTTCTAAAACAGCAGAGGTTATCAGACCACTGACCCCACAAGGGCATGTGCATTTGATCTAAAAGGCGACAATATGTTGTTTTCATTTTAGAATAATATTTATTTTATGAATGATTACTTTATTTACGTTAGGCCTTCGGATTAAGTGGGCTAAAAATTTGATAAAATGTATTATAATTTTTTCATTGTGCGTATAATGTTTTTTTTTTTGGTATTCGATATAAATATGTGCGGTTTTATTGTTATGACATTTAGTATGTATACATATAGATTTCTATATATCTATATATCTATATATGTCTATTAATATATTTAAATGTTTAGAAAGAACGTGGGGCAAAAAATGTGGGAAACAGGGTAAAGAGGAAATGTTAACATTCCATGCATTTTCGAGATGGCTGTGTTGTTTAGAGGAAGAATTTTTTTGTGAATGGAAGCTTAGGGTCAGAGATAGCACTGTGGTCAATGGGTGATGTAAAAGAGATAAATGAGTTTTAGATTGTTTAAGACTAAAAATGAAATGTGGCACAAAAGAATAAGGATATAGTGCTGTTAATTTTGGATAGTGTAAATGCTTTAAGACACTAAAAGACAAAGACAATTACCGACGAGACTACATTTGTGTAGCATAAATACGAAATGATAAACGATGACCTGGACAGATTGATGAGTAGGTAGTCAGGGACTTAGAGACAGGGACTTAGAAGCAGTAGTCCATGAAATATTTTTTGGGCATTAAATAAAGTACGATTAAAGAGCGGGTCAATATAAAAATCAATTTAAAATAGCAAACAATTAAACAAAGAGTTCACAGTAAGAGGTAGAAACGTTATTTATGACCAATACAAAATCATTTGCGATGACTTGCGCCTCCTAATTAAGGACTTTCCCATTCGCCCCTACGAACACATTTTTTTGCTGTAGTAAGACGTTTCCTGTTTATGGTCTAATACTAACTTAATTAAATGAAGAAGTATACTCACAAAAATGTAATTTTAAAAAAAAATAATTGAAAGGTATTTACATTAGTCCCCAATCCCCATATTGAAGCATGGATATATTTGAAAATATATAGTGATTTATTTGTTGTTAGCTTAATTTAAGTAAGTGTGTAACTTAATTATGTATGTATTACCTGTGTCAATAAAGGGTTCTGCTTCCGATTTATCGTTTACACTCAAGGCTTTGGAAGGAAGATATCATAAATGATTAAAATATTGAATTGAAAAATCGTAAATGTAACTTTTGTGTCAGTGCGTTTTTAAATACCATAGAAGATATGTTGGAGAAGAACCAAGTTGCAGCTAATACCTAGGCCTTCAAAAGAGCAAATGACTGCCTCTAACCAGCACATGAGTTCCAAATGCGACGACGGCGCAACCATCCCCATGATTGTTTGAGAAGCAGCGGGGAAGCTTGTGCGGTGGTTCCCCTTTTGGTTTTAAACTACATTATGTCTTAGGTTTTAAGGCATGTGTGGGTTTTTTTTTTCTTTTAACTTTAAATAATCTCAAAACGCTTAAGTAATCAAACAATGAATATTGCTGAGATAAAGTGCAATCACAGTTACACTTCGGATATTTATATGATTATCCGATCTTCTAAAATCAATTGTTTGAAGAAAAGTTTGCTTATATAGTTTACGTCGAATACAATTAACATGTAGGCTTAGCTGCCCCTTCTCTATTTCACAAATTACTAAAAAATTAAACATTCTGTACCATTTTGTTAACAAATTAATAGTATTATGTGAAAATACGATGGTTCTCAAATATGTATACATTAAATGTCTTTTTTAATGCATTTTGGTAAAAGTCAAAATGATAAGTCTAAGGAAATAAACTTATATTTACCTAAGCACTTCTTGTGTGTGATTCCTTTAAAGAAACTATGAAAATAAACGTTTGACGTGAATTATTTTTTTTAAAAAACCCAATCCATTAGGGTTATTCTATTTAATAATAAAAAACAGAATAAAAAGAAATAAAAATTTGTAGATAGTTCAAAATCGTGTTAACGGAATAGTTCATTTAAGAAATCGATGGAAATTTATGGGGTGATTAATAAATAGTTGCAAAATTGGATGAACTGGTTAAAATTGCTTGGAATTAATGAGTGCAAAGATTAAAAGATAAAAAATTACAGACTGGTAAGCAATAATAAAGAAAACAGGTAATTAGATCATTAGACGATCAATTAACTACTAATTACCTGTAAATCGAAAATAACAAAACTAATGCTGTAGGGATTCCAGTTATTAGAAGTATTATAATAATTATTTTCTGATGTTGGCCACCTGTTTTTCAAAAGATTAATAAATATTAATAAACATATGCCTCATAATTATTTAGTTTTGCTTCGTCTGGATATAAAAGTAAACTATAAAAGAAGAATAGGGAGCACTTATCTGCAATAATGATTGTTACAAAAAATTAGAGCATGCTGTGAATTGAGTTGAACTTTTTGAAAGGTGTTCAAGGCATTCCATTTTATTTGCAATGTTTCGTAGTTTCTTAATGTTGGATGTTTTAAACAGGACATTTAAATAGTATCCCATAAGTAAAGTGTCTTCCTTTTATAAATAGACCAGTCAACATAACTTAGTAGTAACCACATAAATAATTTAAGTCACTTACGTCTTGTGACAATACACTCCACATTATTATATCCAAAGTCAAGTCGACAGAGAGCATATTTTATTTTGACTTTGAGTGTAACATCTTGAAATAAAAACCGTCTGAAAACAGCTCGGTTTGCACCTGCTTCTACCTTGGTTGAATCGTTGGATGATATTTCTACTAAACAAGGGGATGCTTGCCCCATACAAACATATTCTATTCTTAAATCAACATCATCAATAATAAAACTACAATTAGTTTTATCGGTAACATTTTTCCCATTGACTGTCAATTTTCCTTTGACATCTGTTGGTTCTGGAATAAAAGTAACATCAAAAGAAGTGATTAATACAAAACGCTGTAAGTTAAATTTGTATTAACAAAACAAGAAGGCTTTTGGCCATGTTCATGTCTGATTCAATTATGCCATTATTGGCGTATATAAAGTGGTACTTAATTAATAGTACTAATCGAGGTTGGGTTTACATGAAATGTGTTTCAAAGAACAGTAAGACCTGTTATCTTAATTATAGACAATACATTTTCAAAAAAGGAAAAAATTGCCCATAGTTTAGATATTTAAAATATGCATTGATTTATCATTGTCGTCATGATGTCTTGTATTTGTAAACTTTTAAAATAATGTTAATTTTTTTATTTTTTTTTAAATTTAAATAAACTTTATCCATCATGAAATAGAAGAAAAGTAGCACAATACACGATTACTTACCAACTATTTTAGGTAATTTCAGTTGATCACTAGCCATTTCAGTTTGATTATAATGTTTTATGACCCCTCTGATATAAGCCTCACTAAATTGTGGGAAAACTTCTGATATAATTGATATGTTAAAGGCGTTATCAGAAATGTTTGAACAGTGATAATAGTTTCCTGTCTTTTTATTTTCTGTACATTCTGACTTGACGTCTACAGAAAATAACTGCGGAATGAATTTACAATACTTATACAAGATTGTTTAAAATAGTATAATTGTACTTCTAATTGTAATTGCTTAGTTAATTTTTTTTTAAACATTACATTTTAGATCCAAGGTCTGTTTTACAAGTTTTAGTGTGGCAACTTTTAAGTAATTTAAATAAGCTAAGATAAAATGGGCACACATGCATTATCTTACCAACTTTCTATCAATATATTCAATATAAAACAACTTACGAGTTTGTATTCGTTGCTGGTGTTTGGTCTAATTTCAAATCTCACAATTGAGTTATTCTTTAACTCATTTCTGAATTTAACCGTTGTATTAAAGGATAGCCGGTCAATATTGCTTAGTAAACCAGAAGTGCATTTAGTGTTGCTGTCTTCTTGTCGTACCTCAAACATTTTTATTTCTTGGCCAAAAGAGAAATCTGCTAATTTAAAAAACAAATGATAATCAACTAATAAATTATACATACGTTAATTCATATAATTAAATGTTTGGTAAATCATGTGTTAAAAATTACACAATCTATTTTAAATTGAAAGCACACTTGATTTGATTGTCTAACATATTTTGATTTTAGTGCAGTTCATAATATTTTTTTCGTAGAGTAGTTTGTGACTAGTTTGACTACAGTCTGAGCGTAGTTAAAACATGATAAATAATAAAAAATTTACCAAACTGATTGATTTACAGTAATTCCCGTTGAATAACCATGCCTCTTCTACGATATTTTTAAAAGGTTGTGCCTTTAGATTGAAATAATATTATGTCTATTTAAAAAAAAAATATTCTTCATCTGTTTATGATACTTCTTATGTAATAAAACAACTATACTGCTAACGTATTTTAAGTCATTAGTATGTTGATAGTAATATTCTTATTTATTAGTTTAATAAATTATATTATAATAGTTTTGGGAGCGTCCCTATTTGTTGATTAAATCTTTAAATTAGTTTTTTTATTTTATTTACAAAGCATTTACAAAATTTAACAGTACAGAAAAAAAAAGAAAAAAACTTTTTTTTTATGGCATCTGGAAATGTATTATCCTTAAATACAAAGACATTGGCGTGATGATGTACCACAAAATGCGAAACATAAATGTTCACATTGTACATCTGCTCGCTGTAAAAGTAGATTTTAAAACATATACTGAATAATGGTTGCTGCAGACTCCTGTAAAAGTAGACTCTTTTCTTGGGTAAAGCTGACTGTATTCATGGAGCATCTCGACAGTGGAACACACTCTTCTTTAACATTCCACACTAGTAGACATCAGATGGCGTAAGATCAGGGTTAGTGACACGGGTATGCTAAATTGGTACAACGTGAAATGATGCGTCGAGGAAAGTTTTTATGCAGTATGGCGATAGAGTCTCGAGATGTAACGCTGGTCACTCCGTCCGGACGATTACCTTCTCTATCCATGTCAACGGTTCTTTGCGCGACATAACCTTCTCAAATTCCTAAAGAAATTGCTTGATCACTGTGCCCGTGTGGCACTCTTGGTTGATGGTAAGAGCATTGATCTTCCCATCCTCAATACAATAGCGGCATATTATACCATTTATTGAAGGGACACAGCATTTCCTCTCGTGCACTGTTAAGGGGTTTCTGGACAATACTATCGAGACGCTATAATCCAAGGAAGCGAGTTGGCTGGTGATTAATTGAGCCATCCAAGCACATGTAACTTGCGTTCAAGAACCAAATATTCTTAAAAAGGTATGGATCCTTTAAACATTTTGCACAAAATAATCTACAATGCATCATCCATGTTCGTACATCCAGTTCTGTCAAGCGTTGTTCAATATTAATCCGGTATGAAATCCACTTTTGTTTTAAGATATATCGCTGATGTACACTTTCAAAGATTATCGTAGAATTCATCGTAGGGCGGAATGAACAATGTGGTGTGGAACACGTGTTGGATTCTCCATCATCGAAATATTCACTGACTGACCAGTCTTATTCTTAAGTTTAGAAATTACGCTACCAGAAAGGCCAAATGTCTTAATAATACAGCACACCAGTGTTATTTGGTGCTGTCTTATGAATAAATTTTCGGAATTATTATCCCCGTTGTTTGTTTAAACTCGTGCCCTCTTAACGACCAATTACGTAAGGGGGAAAATACGTATTAATTTCCTCAGTAGATAGAATATTTTCTAAACACTTCTAAAAAACAGCTCTATGACGTCTTATGACTTTGATGAAAAAAAAAATGTAATGTATTTTTCTTTAGTGTAAAATATTTGTCTGACCCTGACACTACAGATTGTATGCTCATACCCTCTACTTATTGTCTCCGGAAGTGATACAAATATATTGTTAACATTTGCATTTGAGCTAACCTCTCTCGTTGGGACCAAACCATGTTCAGGAACTCTTTTTCAGAGTTTTCTCTGTAGTCTGGAAACTAAACACACTGGCTTAGCTAAATAAACCTTTACCATCAACGAGGGCTTCATGTGTGTTATGCTAAATGGGATCTATACTGTTGTTTTCCGAAGATACCGTGGCTGTTTTATATTTGAGAAGGGAATACTACTATCTGAAAGATTCAGTTAACAGCTTTTGAATATAGAACATAAAAAGCCTCTCATCCCATTTGAACAGAGATAAATACACAGGTGCATTTCAGATGTGTGAGTCTTGGCTTCATTTTTGCATCATTACAAAATTGATAGTGAAAAATGAAAACATATGTATTCAGCTTTTTGCCATAATATCACCATATGAAATAAATCACATTCTTATTTATTGGTGATCCTTAATATGCCTTCATTTATATTCTTTCTTTTTTTAAATTTTACATTAACAATAATACTTTTCTTTTAACCTCATGTTATGTACCACACAATAATATGGAAAGCACGTTTGCCCTTTTGGCAACTCAGCCTACGTATTTAACAATAAGTTAAATCACTTCATATTCTCAACTGTACCATCGGAAACATAACTTTTTATTATTTAATGTAAAAATATCCGTTAATTATTGTATTGCATTTTCTTCCAAAGAAAGTATCTCGACAAAACGTCCCATTAATGGTCTTTTTTTTTTTTTTTTTTTTAAAGTGTGTGTGTGGGGGGGGGGTTAAAAATAAATTTTTTTATTATTTATTTTTTTTAAATTTTTTTTTTTTTTTTTTTTTTTTTTTTTTAAAGTGTGTGTGTGGGGGGGGGGGTTAAACATAAATTGTTTTATTATTTATTTATTTTAAATGTTTCAAATATAAAAATGTTTGCGTATTCTACAATATTGCGTTTTGGTTTAACATTGGAAGTAAATCTGAACTAGTAATTTTGAGAAACACGTATTTAGTTATTTTGTTTTTGATCAACAACTTACTGTTCAGTATTACTAAAAGGATGAATAGCTTCATTTTTAGGCGGCATGTAGATTCTGTATTTGTCAAAGTGTCTGGAAACAAACAAGATTAATTAAATTATGACATTTTAATTGGTTAATAAATACTATTTTCTAGCTGCACTGCTAAGTTAATGTTTGCTTTCTCAATGTACCGCTTTGCTTAAATCACTTCCTTGTATGGATCTAAGCATGGCATAGTCAATGAAGCTATTTTTTAAGGACTAAAATTGTCACTATTTAAATACTTTAAAAAAAGTTTTTTTAATAGTACAAAAACACTTAATAATTTCGTACTTATTTATTATTTTAAAATAAAGGCATGACCATACAGAGCCGATGAGGACGTATTTTTTACACAATTTTACAGCTATCATATTTTAAAGTAAAAACATATATTTTTTTGTAGGTTAAATTAAAGCATGTTTTACATGAAATAAGACTAAAAATTATCTTTTAACACGCTGTTAAAAAATGAAAACGTATATAGCTAAATAATGTATGTTTTCAAATAGGCCTATTAGGGTAGACATACACGTGTGTTGAGTTTTAAACTGTTTTATTTTAATATGACTTGTTTTTTAAATTAAAATAATTACAACTTTAATGATTGTTCATAAGTAATCAAGAAAAAAACATCCTGCAAAGAAAAGGACAAATTACTTTCAAACAGATGAATCCGCTTGGTTTGCAATGGTCTTTGATGGAATGAAATGTATGATTAAACTATATGACAAGTGAAAGTATCTTAAAAAATTAAGACTTTCGTTTTTGGGAAATCTAAACTGCAGAAAATGAGTCAATATGATAAGCTCATAAGTAAACATAATAATTGCCTATAATGTGAATATATTTGTCATCATGAAGTCATCTGCTAGAAGCATTTTGAGGCATTTACTTCTTCTAATGTCTTGAAGAGTTATATTTAATGCTTTTATTAGCCCGTTGTGAGTCATGGTACAATCATCCCAAAAAGTAAAATAAAATTGCACTCACAATGTACCTGATCTGAGTTTAATTGTTTCACAAAGTAGTATCAGAGACGTTTAAGTAGAAAGTCGGTTTTATGTCAGAGTGAACTTTCTTTGCCCCGTCCAAGAATCGAGATTTCTATTCTTTTGCTTCCGCTATCAAGCAACATCTTAGTCAAAAATGTGTTTCTTGTGCAATCAACAGAGTCAAGATATAAAAACCAAAACGAATCTGAACTAACACTAGTAACCACTTCATGATAGTGATAAACTTGAGGAGTTCCCTAAGTTTTTAAACATCTTCAAGAACTGATTGGTACATTTTAACTACGATGCAAAACATATTTTTGGTAGTTACGATTAACATTAATTGAGTTTAGAGTCCCCATCTAATAAACTTTTTGTTGAACTTCAAAATGATACTAAGTTTTCTATGCTAAAGACACTTCAAAATGACATTAATACGTAATATAGCAAAAAGGTACTGAATTAATTTGAAACACTGCACTTGTTTACGAATGGAACACAATGTGATAATGTATATCATAATGATAATAATAATGATAATGCCCTCAAATTTATATCGATTCCCCAGAAAATATTAAACATGTTATCATCATGGGACCATGTATTAGATGCAGAGTATTGAGGTACCGTATTTTCGCAAATATAAGACGTCTGTTTTATAAGTTTTAAGTACCTCGCACCTATGGTTCATCTTATATATGGGTGCGTCTTGTGTAAACATTTTTTTTAAACCAATCCCACGTTTATATTTACTAACTTCATACATCCGGCATTTATTTGTCTGTGTACGGTACTAATGCCACTTGCTGAAGACTTGGCCTAGCAGATCAATCACCTTAACATCTGGCGTATTATTGTTTTAGAATAAAGATACCAGGTACCCAACACATCCACTATATGCCCGGAGGCGGATAAGTATAAGCAATTATCGTTGCGGTTCTGCCTCAAACACGTCTTCAATCTACCGTTTAACCAAAACTGGTAATCAAGTCTTGTTTACATAGACGGGTGATGAGGCTTTGGAAAATTTGTATTTATAATAAAGGAAAGGAAACTACTAGCTTAGTGCGACAGATGGCTAAGCCACATGCGTCCTAATGTAATGTTTGTTTACACAGCGTCAAAATCCGCGTCTTACATGGGGATGCGTCTTATTTTCGAGATAATACGGTAATTTGTTTTTATTCTAAATTTTAAAAGGTCTTTTGCACAGATTATTGTATTAAAAAATCATACTTACTTGGTAGGAAGAATCCTTTGACCGTTTACTTTCCAGACGCCTTCTAGAAAATGTGTTTTTACTCCACAGTGGAAAGCTAAATAAAATTGTGAGAATTTTTCATTATTGCTGTTTTCCAACATATACTCATAAAAGCAGCAGGTTTTTTTGTTTTTTTATTCATTTTCTTTTATTTTAGGAGAAAATCGTAGTTTAGCAATTTTTTCAAATGCAAAAATTAATTTTTCGTATTAAAAATAATATACGTGGAGTTACTTTTTGCTTAGAGCATATCATTAACTTTCAAATGTGGCAATTGTGGTTTCTAAATCGTGTAAGTAATTATGATTTAAAATGTACACACTATATTAGATTATATTTATATTAGATAAAGCAACGGCTTTTCTGATTTAGAAAAAAAAATATATTTATAGGTAATTCTTTATGTTCATTATTGTAGTTGCTTTTAAATCAAGATAATGCTTTGCAGCTACAATTTTTTAAGTAAATGACAAACTTAAATGAAATTGTTTTGCTAAATAAAGCGCGGGTTTATTTGAGACTGTTTATTTTCTGCAAAAGAAATATTTTAGAGAATGTAAGCAATCTGAAATTAATAACATGTAATTAACTGTAGACGATCTATGAAATAACTGTTTATTGATATGGTGTTAATGTAACTTTTAAATTTTTTAAAGGTATTTGATATTATATGAACTTAAAATAGTAAAGTAAACAGCTCAATCTAGAAATAGAAACTTTAAATGTGCAGATAAAATTTGTGAAACCGTTTTTGGTCTACTTTACGGGTAAGGATCAATACCATAGGTGGGCTATGTTAAATTTTTCTACACATGCCAATTGATATTTCCAATGCAGTTAAACTGATATCAAAACATAAAGCTTTTAGCAGTGCCAACTTATGCTTTAAATCAAAGATATTTAGTGGTGTAATGTATATTTGTTGATTGTAAATTATTAGTGCCTCCAGAAGTGCTTCAATAAAATGTTTATACCACCACACTTATCTAAATGTAAACATAGTAACAAAATATTTTCCTTCATTCTGCTCTTTCAACACATGCGTGTCACAGTATAAATGAAAATATTAAGCACATGGAAATTGAACGCTTTTTTTCTTCTTTAATGTTGAAGTCTTCTTGCTGACACGCTTATCGCCTTTATCGTCTATTTTCAGGTTTTCCTGTGCTTTATATTTGTTATTGATTAGACCTCAGTTCCTATCTACTATTGTGACACAAAAAAATCGATATTAAAGTCAATTTACCGAGCGGCACTGTGTTGTACTGAGCAACGACATGACAGTAATCTACCGCGGCGCACACATTGATTTCGAGTTGTGTGCCGTGTTAAATTGATCTGGGTTATGTGTACAGTGTTAACCTGGATATAGTTTATCATGAGAATGTCCTTCAGTTGCGGTGTTACCAATCAACCGTGACAGACACCAGCCCTCAATACTCCTCCATTGTTATTCCATTATACAATGAGTTGTACTACAAAGACATGCTTTCTTGTTTAATGATAATATAACCACAATTAAACTTGGATATCAAACTATACAAATACAAATGAATAATCACTTTTAAAAAATAAGTAAGGTGTACAAAGGCTTCAATCATTATTTTTAAAATTGATTTAAAAAAAACATACGCCTTACGATCCAGCAGTTGTAAAATATTTATTAGATCTATTTCTCGTCGAATATTTGCATTTGTCCTGTCTTTTTATGAAGGCGATAATCCGATACGCTCTTATCTTAGTGTTCTGTCATTCAACTTAAATTTCCACAAACCTTCTTATATTATTTCCTTCACACAGGTTAAACGAAATCCTTCATTTATCATTTGGTCAAATATTAGAATCATTATTTACGTAACTAAGAGGGATTTTTTTTTTTTTTTTTTTTTTTTTTTTTTTTTTTTTTTTTTTTTTTTTTTTTTTTAAATTTTACATTTTTCTAATTTTTAAAAAAAAAAATTATTTTTAAATTTTTTTTTTTTTTTTATTTTCTATTTTTTTTTTTTTTTTTTTTATAGGGATTTTTTTTTTTTTTTTTTGTTTTGTTTTTATTTGATTTTTTTGTTGTTTTGGGTCAAAATGCACAATGCTCTAAACTTTAAAAAAAAAATGAATTTTAAATATTGTTTTTCCATGACAGTTCCATTTTATTTTTATCGTATTTTATGCTAAAATTACTCCTCTAATATACGTATCGTATTTTATGTTTTAATTACTCCCTTAATATACTTGTAATTTTTATTCTTTAAAAAATTACTAAAATAATGACATTGATATATATCGGGAATTATGTTAACCAACAGACGTTGCCGAATCATCTAGAATTTTTTCTAAAGGTGCTTGACACTCACCAAATAAAAACTATAATCTATGTGATGAAAACGTTTTCCACGTCCTAAATAAAAGAACTTCATCGCTGCGCACACATAATCAAAAAATTAAGAAATGACAATTAAAAAGTAGGAACTATGATGACATTAAAATTTACCAGAGACCTCTTTCTGGTCTCGTGAACGAGGGCTACTTTACCTAAGCATCAATATTATTTTTTTACACTTACATTTAGCACTTTAGAAAGGTTAAATAATTTAAATTTATACACCCAAACGGTACTTCCATTTTAATTCACCGCAAAAATTATTATTATTCAAACATCCAATAAAACAATTGTTATTTTGCGTAAAAACGTTTAATTCTACGCAAAAATTATTGTACCTTATTCATTATTTGACATTTCCCTTAAAGCACTTCACACTTCCAAATAAGACAAATGTCCTTT